AGAGAGAGAGAGAGAGAGAGAGAGCGGCGAAGAGACGTTTCGAGGATTGTTAGCGGTGGCGGGAAAAAGCGTCATGGATGGGGGTTGGCGGGACGAAGCAGGATCTAGCGGAATGGACAGGGAAGATAACGGCTATGGTGAGGAGGGGGACATGGGCGGAGGGGGAGGTGGTGGTGGTGGGGGGGGGAAAGCCTATCGAGGTAAGCGCCATTCTTCTATCCGCACGTTGACGCCCTACTCCAGGCCGCCGGTAAGTCGACTCCCAGGGGCGGGAGCTGCGCTTGTTGGTCGCGGCGGCGGCGGAGGCGGAATTGGCGGGTCCGGCGGCAAAAGTTCAAGCGGCGGAGGTAGCGAGCATGCTACGGCTGCGCGGGAGCGGGAAAGCGATGGTTTGGCGGGAGGAGGCGGCGGATTGAATGGCGTTGACGTGCGGAGCTCGGGCGGATGGGTGCGCGGGCTGGGGTCGAAGATTAAGGATCTGGCGAGCAGCACGGCCTACCTTGCGACGGGACGGCGATGGTTTTTTGGCGGGAGAAGTGAAGATGGCACTCAACGTCTTGAGTACAGCGAGGGTACCTCCGATGACGACAGGACTGCCGCGCCTTCGCGGGAAACGGCGCCGTCGGAGGAGGACGGCGCGGATCAAAGGGAGAGGAGAAGCGCGGCGGTGCCTTCCCGGGAGCCGGCGGCTTCGATAGAGGATGCAGAGGATCCAAGAGAGAGGAGAACAGCTGGAGGCGCGCCCTCGATGCGCCAGGCGGCAGCGGCAGCGGCGGCGGCGGCAGCGTCGGAAGAGGATGCGGAAGAAGATGCAAGGGATATAAGGGGTCATCATGGGGAACTGGTCGGAGTGGACGTAGAACAACAGCTGTCTCTGGAGCGCATGGACTTGGAAGCGCTTCTCGATCGTCAGACCTCTCGAGGGATTACTAGGGATGAGTTTGAGCGCATTACCCGCCTTCTGCGGGCCAGGCTGGTCGACAACGAGAGGGATGCGGCTGATGAGGAGGGGGCGGGCAGAAGGGGGGAAAGGGGGATAAGGAGGCGAGAGGAAGAGGAGAGATTTCTGGACGTTGGAAGGCTTTTGGACACGAGCAGAGAGAGTGACCGAGCCCGGGCCGTCTCGTGGGATTTAGTTGACAGGGATCCCGATCAGCAGCAGCTCGCACACGCGGGCATGTCGAACTCCTCCCCCGTCGATATTGCCCGTATGTATATCCGGGAGAGATACGGAGAGCGTGCGGTGATGGAGGTGAGCGAGTCCGAGCAGCAGCGGCTAAGAGGGGGAGAAAGTCAGTATGACGATGACGAGCAAGGTGGGAGTGCGGGGAGAGGAGGAGGCGGCGGTGGCGGCGGCGGCGGCGGAAGCTTGGGCGGGGGGGATTTACAAGTGGCGACAGTGGGGGGGGTCGCGGGGGGGGAGGAAGAGCGACAGCGGATGGGGGGGCAAGCGGGCCCCAGCGCGAACGGTTCTCCTCACGGGATTTTCCCCCGCAGAACGCCCTGGAGGGCTTTCCCCACCGCGGCGGCGGAAGACAGATTCCGCACCCCCGTGCCGTCGTCCATCCGCTCCTCGTGGGGTATCATTCCGCTGTCGAATCGGCCCAGCAGCTATGGAAGGCGGGCGCCTTCCTCATCTAGGGTTACTCCCCTGAATGCGAGATGGACCCCCCTGAGGACCCCCTTGAGTGCGTCGGCGGCGGCGGCGGCGCGGGAGCAGCAACTGAAACGTGGCAGCTCGGCAGTGGACGACGGATGGAGCGCCGGCGGCAGCGCTATCCGGCGAACGCGCCAGAAGCTTCCCCCAAGGGACAACAGAGATGAGCGGGCGGTGGTGCCAGTATTGGCCCCAAGCACAAGTGGGGTGGCTGTTGGGAGGTCCATGGCGTTGACTCCGAGGGACAGTCTAGCATTGCGACGGCTGAAGCAGAACGCGGGAGAAGGGAGCTCGGCTGGAGCGGCATTGGGAAGGAGGGCTGAAGGAGGGAGAGAGGGAGAGATTATAATGGCAACAAGAGAGAGCAACCTGGCCTCCAGGGACGAAGGAATGTCGAGATCGACACTCGCCGTAGCCCCCACACGAATGAGTCAAACGGCCAAAAAAATTCTGCAGACATTAGATATCCTCATGCCGTCGCCGAAGTCAATCGAGGCGGAGCTGAAGACCATGGCGGATGGAAGGTTGCACCGGGACCTCGACCCAGAGCGGCTTGGAGTGCGAGCACTGCGCAGCATGACAACCCCCTCGTCCCCTCCGCCGCTAGATTTGATGGATGCAGTGACACCGCCTCCCCCTCCCCCGGGAGCGAAGGACAGCAAATCCTCCACTTCGCAGGGGGACGGAGGGGGAGAAGCGATGGGGGGAGGGGAGGGGTTGTTGTCGACGCCTGCACAGTATCATGCCGTCTCGAAAGCGATTGTGTTGGCCGGGTCAGATGTTAACCCTAATAAAGAGCAGGAGGCAGTGGGCGCTGGGTCGTCACATGCCGCCGCCATGGAAACGAGTCCGACCACGGTGAGCACGCCAGCTGGCGCCACCTCCTCCACCCCTTTGCCGCCGGTGGCAGCACGGGGGGGTGCGGGCGCAGGAGAGGAACGCCGCCGGGCCGAAGTGGCGTTGTTGGGCCCCATCGTGGAAGGAAAACGGCTTTTTACTGACGGCCTGAAAGCTCCCGTGATCTCGGAGAATATCCCGCGAGCCGTGCTTGCCGCAGCTAATACGGGTCCTCGCTCGAATAGTTCCGCTGGGAAGAGCGGCGGAGGGAGACCGACGGGGAGGGGCGGGGGATTCCGAATGAGCGCGGTGTCCGAGGACGAAGATGGAGAAGACGGGAATGAGATGGCGCCGTCCCGACTGGCGGCGGAGGTGGCGACCAAAAGCGCGCACATGCTTGCGGAACCTCTGCGCTCGAAATGGGAAGGCGCGGGCTCTCCTTTCGCAGCAGCCGTGGTCGCTGGTGGGTCAGCGACGGGTTCTGCCGTCGCCTCCTCTACTGCATTTGGGTCTGTGACTGTTTCTGCCTCGATGACGTCCTTTGCGGGAGTTAAGACGACGGCTGCAGTTACTGGAGGAGGAGGAGGAGGGAAGAAATCTGCTGGGTTCACGTTCCCAGCGACTGACGCAGCAGCAGCAGCTGGAAAGGGGGGCTCCTCCGCCCAAGATGTGCCTGCGAGCCCCAGGAGAATGCCCATTGCGGCGTCGGCAACGGGAGCAGCAGCAGGGGGACAGGCGAACCAACGTGGCGGAGCCGGCGGAGTGGCTGCAACTGCGGAAAGGGAGCAGGATTCCGCTGCTGCAGCGGAACCTCCTGCTGGGCGGTGTACGTTCTCCTCTGCCAACGCGAAAGACCGACTGGTTTTCTCAGCAGTGCCCGGCGCTGATCAGCAACAACAGGCAGGTGACTTCTGTTCCACTCCCAAGTTCACGTTCGCAAGCAAACAGCAGCAAGAAGCCTCGAGTGCCGGCGCCACGGCGCAGAAGCTGGTGGAGAATATGGCGGAAGGAGGGGGGGGGGGAGGCCAGAGTTCACTTTCGCGCCCTCCTCCTGCCAAAGACATGGAGCCTTCTTCTTTCCCTGTGGCACCAGGTGGCCTGTTTCCATTTGCATCAGGCACGGCGAGCAGTTACTCGGCGGCGGCGGCAGGGATCTTCGGTGCCACTCCTCAGTCTGCTCCAGCGCGATTAGCAGTCGGGGCTGGTGTTGCAAAAGGAGCAGGGCAAGTGTCGGGGTCTGCTGTCGGGTTCGCTGAAGAGCAGAAAGCCAAGGGATCATCCCTACAAGGAGACGAGCAGACGGACAAGGAACCCTCCTCGAAATGTCTGAAGCCTGCAATGGCAGGAAGCTCGCCATTCTCAGCGGCGGCTGCAGCGCCGACGACTCCGCAGTCTTCCTTGTTGTCCTTCTTGCAGGCCAACTCCGATACCGGCGCAGGAGGCGCAACGTCGCAGGGGGTGGGGGGGGAGGGGATGCCCGCTGCTGGGTCGGCGGCGATGCACGGGGCCTCTGCGTCGGCAGCAGCAGGAGCAGGAGGAGGAGGAGCTATGGTGCCCTCCTCTTCGCTGTCCTCTGCATCTGCAGCATCGTCGCTCTTTGGTTCAACCTTTGCTACCAAGCCTGGCGCGGCCTTCGGCGCGGGTTCGTATGCGGCGACTGCGTCTTTGTTCACTTTCGGCTCAGCTACAGCAGTATCTAGTGCGCCGATGACGTTTGGCAGCGCGGTGGGGGAGGCTGGGGGTGTTTCTGGGGCGCAAGGGCAGAAAAGGCAGGCGACGACCGCGCAGACCTCAGGTGCGGCGGAAGTCTCGTTGCTCGCGTCATCATCATCATCAGCAGGAGCAGCAGCAGTATTAGCCGCTTCCCCTCTGTTTGGGCAAGTGGTGGCGCCGCCGTCTGGAGCGGGGAGCGCATCCGTAGGAGGAACAACGAATGGAAACTTAACGGCGGCGGCGGCGGCGGCGGCGGCAGCGCCATCTCTCTTTGGAGGGGGAATGGCGGCAGGTGGGTTGGGGTCTTCTGCGGCTGCTGCAGCGACCGCGCCGGGACTGACGTCTTCGGCTTCTGGCTTCAAGTTTGGCGCTGGTTCCTCTGGTGCGGGAGTGTTCGGCGGCAGCGCCGGTGGGGGGGGAGGTGGTGGGGGAATGCTCTTCGGGTCGACCGGCGGAGCCGCCGGGGTTTCGTCTACTAGTTCTGCCGCCAGCTCGTTGTTCGGAAGTGCGCCGGCCGCGCCGGCCTTCGGCGGGGCCGCGCCCAGTGGAGCGCCGGCATTTGGTTCCGCAGGCTTCGGCGCTCCGCCAGCGGTGCCGCCGCCGTCCGCAGCACACGTCACTCCGTCGCCGTTTGGTGGATTTGGCGCCACTACTCCGTCGTCGGTGATTGGGCCATCCTCCTCCTCGACTTCGGCTTTTGTATTTGGCGGCGGGACCACGTCCTCTGCCTCTGGACTTGCGTCTTCCTCCGGCTTTGCCTTTGGAGTCTCATCCTCCTCTTCGGGGATGGTGGGCGCTTCGTCTCCCGCTCCTGCGCCCTTCACCTTCGGCGCCCCGTCGGCCAGCGCTCCGTCCGGCGGAACCTTCTTGTTCGGCAGCACTACCTCCGCCTCCTCGTCGGCGGGGTCGGGGTTATCCTCCTCAGGCTTGTCGGCGGCGGGAGCGTTTGGGTTTGGCGGCGCTTCTGGCGCGCAGTCCGCGACTCCATCTAGTGGACACTACGGAAGCAGTGGCACGTCTGCCGCGGCTGGATTTGGTGGCATGCCGTTCGGCGGCAGCTCAACGCCGGCGGCCTTCGGACAAGGAGTGGGAGGGGTCAATAGCGCTCCGACAGGGGGGGGGGGGGGGGGGGGAGGGGTTGGCCTTGTTGCTAATGATGCCAACATCATGGAGGAGAACATGAGTGACGAACCGCCGAACGCGGGAGTGGCATCCGCTGCCCCCCCGCCCACGCCGTCTATTTTTGGTTCATCTGTGCCTGCGCCGTCGTCGGCGGGTTTCGTCTTCGGATCAACGGCATCCGCCGCACCAAGCGCAGGGCCGTTCGTGTTTGGTGGTGGTCAGCAGGCTACCGTAGCCCCCAATCCCTTCTCCACTTCCAATCCTTTTGCTAGCTCTGGTGCAGCGCCTGCTCCATCATCACAAGGAGGGGGGCTGGATTTTGGAGGCAGCACCCCTGGCTTTAGCATGGGGGCTGGCGATCCAGCCCCTTCACGGCGAATCGTTAAGGCCAAGAGGCCTGGCAAACGAGGTAAGTAAGATAGAGGGGGGTTTTGGCGTTCTGCTTTTTGCTTTCGTAGGTGTCAGATGAGGTAGACGGTCCGGCTGGTGGTGGGGATGGTAAACAGGCTCTGCTACCTAGGCATTCGTCTTGTACCCCTCAGTATGCATTTCATCTGCCTGTCGGCGTCAGAATGGACAAGTGTTTTGGCGGGAAATGTTGTGCATGATAGCTCTCTGTCTGTGTGTGCGTGTGTGTGTGTGTGTGTGTGTGTGTGTGTGTGTGTGTGTGTGTGAGAGAGAGAGAGAGAGAGNGTGTGTGAGAGAGAGAGAGAGAGAGAGAGAGAGAGAGAGAGAGAGAGAGAGAGAGAGAGAGAGAGAGAGAGAGAGAGAATGGAGTAGGGAAAGAAGGGATTAGAAGAAACACTGGCAGAGAGAGGGTGGGGGGCGGGAATCGCAGGGAAGTGTGATGTATGGAAGAGTTGTTGGCGGGAAAGGTTATGGAAGAGTTGTTGGCGGGAAAGGTTGCGTGATAGGTAGGTATGAGAGAGGTAGGTATGAGAGAGGAATAGAAGTGAGAGAGGAGGAAGGTGATAGGCGGAGGAAGGGGTGGGGAAAAGGAAGGGGTGGGGAAGAGGGGAATGCACTGTCACAGAGAGAGATTGGGTGAGGGGGGGGAGGTGGGTATGTTGTCTCTTCAATCTCCTATGTTTTGGCGGGCTTTGCTTCGCTTTTGGTGAAGTGAAGGAGAAAGGAGAGTGCAGATTCAGGGGGCAATGGTGGGTGAAGTGGAGCGGAAAGATTTTGATGATCCTTTGCGTGGCAGTTGCGTGCCCCGATCATTACGCCCGCTGGTTGCTGGGTAGTAGTCTTCAGCGCTGGGATTTTCTGGAATGGCTAAGCTTGTCAGGAGCAGGTTGAACATGGCAGAAGTCGCTGCTAGTCGAGGTAGGGAGATCAGCATCGTGACTAGTACCTATTGTTGTTACTCTCGTGTTTGTTTTTTCTCATCAACAATGCCGTAATCGCCGTCGTCATCATCATCCTTGTCTACACTTTCTGTTTTTGTATAAGGTGATGTATGTCTTGCTGTGTGTGGAGGAAGCTTGCTTGCCATGATTCCACACCATGGTCGCTTTCTTCTCTGTTTATCCATGTGAGAATGTGCTTGCACTGCCCATGCAAGAGGGAGAGAGAGGGAAGAGAGAGAGAGAGAGAGAGAGAGAGAGAGAGAGAGAGAGAGAGAGAGAGAGGGCGGTGGCACATCGCATGCATGAGGGAGAGAGAGGGAAGGGTGGAAAGAGAGCATGCATGAGAGAGAGAGAGAGAGAGAGAGAGGGAGAGAGAGAGAGCGGTGGCGCATCGCATGCATGAGAGGGAGAGAGAGGGAAGGGGGGGGGAGAGAGAGAGAGAGAGAGAGAGAGAGAGAGAGAGCTTGCAGAGTACCACTAGATTTCACGAGAGAGAGAGAGAGAGCTTGCAGAGTACCACTAGATTTCACGGCCTGCTGGGATTCATGAAGGGCCTAATGTTTTGGGAGCGATGGAGTATGGCCCGTTGGGTCGGAGATCGTATGGCCTTGGAGACGGCAGGCTTTGCTTGTCTGTCATGAAATCGCGCCAGCCACTTCAGTCGAGGCTCCCCCAGGTTTCCTGTGAAGACGACGGATTTTCTGGGGGAAGAGGGAGTGGCTTGTGTGGACCGCCAGATCCAAGATCTTACGGCCTCGGGGGAGTTTTTGTGTGGGTGGCGGGCCACGTGGCCCGTAGTACGTGTGAACCGTAGTTCCGCTATATCTATCTATCTATGTTGTGGAGATTTAGGGCATATACATATTCAGACGAGGACATTTGTGGATGTTTTTGACTGCAATTGCGACCAGATGCAGAGGCTTCGTGTTCCAAAAAAGGCCTGTGTAATAATGAATATATGCCCTTCTCCTCGAGTGCTTACGATGAGCAAGGTGGTCCACCCGCCAGATCGAAGATCCTACGGCGTTGCGCTGGAGTTCCTTCTTTTTTCTTCTTTTTTTTTTCGTTTTTTCTTTGTGGGTGGGTCGTCTCGTGTCGTTGTGTCTTTTTCCGTCTATGTATGAAGTGCTGCTGGCTTTTAGGGCAGTACTTCCCGCGGATGTATTTGACTGCAATTACCGCCAGATTCGTTCGACAGAAAGCTTATGTGATATGAGTATGCCGTTAAATTTGTCGGCGTCTGTGTGATTATGTCCTGAAAGTGGTATTCTTTCTGTCTGCACAAAATGAACCGAGTATTCGTCTGTCTGATTATGTACGACCTCTCAAATCTCTGGTTCAATCATGAGGATTGCATGGTAGGAGGGAAAGGTAAAAGCACGGGATGGGGCAGTTCACAAGGTGTGTACACTTAACAGCCAGCCTTGTCTCCAGTGCATCATGATAACGAATGTATATAAGCTAGCTTCCCGGTCACATACAGCCAAAAGCAGGGAGCTCCGGTGCACCATGATTACGAATGCATACAAGCTAGCTTCCCGGTCACATACAGGCAAAAGTAGGGCGCGTTGTGATCGGGGGAAGACGGTAGAGCGAGCGGTATCCAAACAGTGCTACTGCTGAACGAAGGAGGCGGCATTTGCTGAAGCAGTTTGTCCGCGGCATGGCAGTTTATGAGGTCCAACGCGTGTACACTTAACAGCCTCTTCCTTCCTGTGCCCTCTGCCCTGATTACGAATGTATACAAGCTACCTTTCCGGTCAGATGCACAGCCAAAAGTAGTAGGCCGCTTTGTGTTCGGGTAAAGACGGTAGAGCGAACGCCATCCAACCAATGGTAGGCTGTACGACGGAGGCATCATTTCCTTATGAGGTCTGGATGAACTTGAAACAGGGGACACGTGTGTCGGAATCAATGCGCTTGGTAAGGTATAGAGACCGCGCCCCCCCTCCCCGCCCCCCCCCCCCGTTGGTTCGTTGGCAGGAAGGGGGGGCTCGAATGGGTTGGTTCGTGTTGTCGGGATCGGGTGATGCGAAAAGCGATCTGGAGGGTGTGGGGATCAAGATGACATTCCACTCCTCGCTCTCCTCGCTCTCCTCTCCTTCCCCATCCTCCCTTAGCTTCTGGTCCTCTCTTCTGCTCACATTCTGCTTCTTTCTTTCCTTCTTGCTGCTTCTTCTCCTCTTTGGCCCTCCTCTGTTCTCTCGCTACGCTTAGGCAACGTCTTCGTGGTCGCTCTTCTCCTCTCCCTTGTGTGATTTCCATCCTCCTCTCCCAACTGCAGCCCTTCGAAATTTCCTCCTCCTCCTCTTCCTCCTCCTCCCCTTGTGGTTGACAGCTTGTGTCCGAACCTGCCCTCCTCCTCATCCTCCTCCCCCTCCTTCTCCCCCTCCTCTCCCACCTTTCCCTCCTTGTAATCCTCTTGGACACCTTGGCGTAGAGTGCTCGTCTTCCTGTCACCGTGTTCCTTGTCTTCTCTGTGTTCCTCGCTTACTTGTATTAATCTCCTCTGCCTCCATTTCCGGCTCCAGCATCCCATTTGATTAATCTCCTCTGCCTTCATTTCCGGCTCGAGCATCCCATTTGATCCGCGGCGTGATGCGTTTTGCCCTTTTTGTCCGTTTTGGCCCGCCCGCTTGACACACTTGGCAGTCCCACTTTTTGCCCTATCTTATCTTTCGCTTGGCCCTCCCGTGTAATACACAGCATAGGCCTTTGTTGTCCCCCCTCCTCTTTTGCCCTCCTACCGTAGTCCACATCTTGCAGCTCCTCTTCTTCTTTTTTTCACTCGCTCGAATGTCTCTTCCAGTGTCCCCTCTCCCTAAATTACTCGAATGCCTCCTCCATTCATTGTTCCCCCCTCCTAAAGTGTTCGTCGTTTCGTGTGCCAATGGACGAACAGTGTAGCGGCCTCACATACTGCACCCTCCTATCTTGACGCCTCTTGATCACTCAGAGACGTTTGACACCCCGCGCACCTCTCGGCGCCCTTACTTGTCTCCCCCTTCCCCCCTAGGAGCGCTTCCCTAGTGACGTGCTTCTTCTCCATTCTGTTTTCTTGTTGACGGCTGGCGAGTGCACCCTCTGGCTGAGAGAGAGAGAGAGAGAGAGAGAGAGAGAGAGAGAGAGAGAGAGAGAGAGAGAGAGAGAGAGAGAGAGGGAGAAGTTGGCCTCTGCGGGAGGAAGTTGCACAAGAATGTGGACTGAAAATTGCACCAAATTACTTAGATATTAGATAAGAGAAGGGAGGCGAGGGGCAAGGAGGAGGAAGGGGGGGGAGGGGGGCGGAGGGGGACGAGAAGAGCTGCTGCGCAAGTATGGTGTACACAGACCAAGATCAAGACAAGATTCATTCTAGTTATTAAAGAGATAAGGAAAAGTATAGAAGGGAAAAGCACGGGAGAAGCAGGGAGAGGAAGGGAGGAGGAGTTGGAGACCACGGCGGAGGACGGAAGAGGAGAAGGAGGGGAGCGAGGGGGGGGATGTGATTAGCAGCAACGGGCCTCGGGCACGGGGTGTACTTCGTGAAAGGGGAATCCTTTTTGGGGCCGAGGCGGCCATAAGTTTTGTGAAACATCGAGAGGACAGAGGAGGTAGGTCGGCGGGCCAGTTCCATGCCTGTGCCGAAGTAGGAGGAGGAAAGAGTCCCATGTCTGTGGGACAGACATGGACCGGCATGGGACCGACCTCCGACTTCACCGCCGTCTCTGTCTGTGCCAAATTAGGGAGAAGGATGATAGGTTCCCATTGTCCCATGTTTGTGGCAAAGTAGTAGGAGGATAATTAATTGGTACCTCGAGTCCCATTTTTGTGGTCTTAAATTAGGAGAACGGTAGACGTCCGCTGAACCCCAATTTTGGGGCAAAGCAGGCGGAAGGAAGAGCTCCCTTCAGTGCTATGTAGGTGCCAAAGTAGGACGCTAGGTCCCTTCTGTGTTGGGGGTTAGACCGCCAGTATGCGGCCCCAGCCTTGCAGAAAGTTTTTGTCGCGGCATTGTCGCGGCATGTCGCCGCAAGCAAAAACTCGGAGGGGACGTGTGGCATGGGGGGGCGGTGACAAGGAAAAATCTGCGGTCTCCGAAGTGGTGCTGGTTTCATGCTGCCGCCCACGGGCCTATGTATGGTGTACTGGTGCTTTTAAGGTAGGATGATGCGTGGGGGAAACGTTTTTCATTTGGTCAGGGGGTGGTAGGGCAAGATGAGGGTGTTTTGTACTGTGTGAAGATGGAAATGCGTAGCCTATATGTGTTAAGCTATGGGTAGATGCGTACCGCGGAGGATGAGATAGGCTTGGCACAAATGTGTCGATTTCATCATCTGACTGTTTTGTTGCATTCTTTGGAGGATGTGATGCCGATGGTGGGAATGGAGGAGGAGGAGGAGGAGGTGGCGGGGATGCACACCGCTTTAGTGTACTCAACTCCAAACCTCTCTTTGTTCTGACGGATGCTGTCCGCAGAGAGAGACTAAGAAGGGAGTGGACGGTGAGCATGTTCGTGCCTGCAGAGTCGAAGAAGGGAGTAGATTGTGGGTGTTGTCGTGTGTGAAGTGTAGTAGTGGGTTTGTCCAAGGTCTGGAGGTAGCGATCCAGGATGAGTCGGGAAATCCAAAAGCTCTGCTAGCCATAGCCAAAAAGCTTCGAGCATTTAGCATCTTTTGGGGGACCCAAAATCCATCCCTCCGTAGCTCAACGACGAGGAGGAACTTGAAGTTTTCTGCGCTGCACGGTCGGCACATTTCTTGGATCTTCTGCCGTGTGATAGAGGGGACGGTC